ACCAATTCTGAAGACATTTCCATTATACCAAAAATCTGTAGTATGTAATTCCTGAAACATTGTCTCATCTCAGTAACTACAAACAAACCATTTCTCTTATTTTCACAAAAGGACCATTAGCAGTTTAAAGAAATGATTAAAGAAATGCTAGCAATATAATTTTTAAGTATGATACAAAAAGAAGGAATAGGCAAACCAATTGAACAAAAAGGAGTCCAGAAACAACCTCAAATACACATGGTAATTTAATATATAATAAAGATGACATTTCAAGTCAGTGGGGAAAAGGTGAATTTTTCAATTAATGGTATCTGACTATATGTCAGCCACTTGAAAAAAAGTTAAAAAGTCCCGACATCACTCCTTTTACTAAAGTAACTCCCACAGAAATCAAATATGAAACTGTAATTGAAAATGTAACTACATGAGTTATAGTCTTTGAGGGCTTCCCAGGTGGCTCAGTGATAAAGAATCCACGTACCAATGCAGGAGATGCAGGTTTGATCCCTGAGTAGGAAAGATTCCCTCAAGAAGAAAATAGCAACCCACTCCAGTATTCTTGCCTGGGAAATCCCATGGACAGAAGAACCTGGCAGGCTGCAGTCCACAGGGCACAAACAGTCAGACATGACTGACCAGCTCAACAACAACAACAACAAATAGTTTTTGAGGGGGAAACACCTATCTAAACACAACACAGTAGCCATAAAGGAAAAAGTCAAAAAAAGGACACAGAATGTTTAATTTCTGTTAGGCTTAAAAAAAGACTATAAAACAAGAAGAAAGCGACAAATGACAACCTGAGGGGGAAACATACAATAAATATGACAAACTGCCAAATACGATGTAAAGAGCTTTTACAAATCAGTAATTGAAAAAGATATGAACAAGTGATAAGAGGAAAAGCTAAGAGTTCTAAACATAAGAAGTTACTCACCCTCTTGAATAAAGAAGTGTAATATGAGACACTATTTTTATCGAGCAGTTTGACAAATATTTAACATTTGCCAAAACCTGCCTTTCTCAATACTTGAAGGTATGGGGAAATACAGACACTCATACACTATCAGTAGGAATGAAAAGAGGTACTTTTGAAAGGGCATTTGACAGTAACTATAAACAAATTTAAAAATACTACATATGTTTGTTTCAAGAGTGCTTACAGTAAAACAAACTTAAACATGACCTAAATGTCCAAGAACAGGGAAGTGGCAAATAAATATGTTACATCCACATAATTCAACAAAGTGTAGTAAGTGTCCAAGACATAGTAAAAGAAAACAAGGTATAGAACAATAGGTTTAGTGTGATGTTATCTGTGTAAATGAAAAATGAAGGACAGAAACAAATAAATGCTTATATACATGATTTTATCTGGAAGAACAGACCAAAAGTTTAACTTTGGTTCTTTCTTGAGCACAGGACTAAGAGTAAAGAGAAGCATTTACTTTGCAAACCTTTTCATGGTATGGTTTATATTTATTTTCACCATAGGTATTTTATTTAAAAACAGAACTTAAAAATTAATAAGCTTAAATACTCCATAAACATTGCTTTTGATTGATGAAATACAATTAATAATATAACTAACATCCACTGAACATCTACTATATGGCAAGTTTTGTAGCAGGGACTGAGTCTTAAGTAAATAACTACTAAACTACAATAATTGAAAAATTCAACTTACCACACACATTTATTCAAGATAGAATACATCATTTCCCACAAAGTGACACAGTACTATTTTTCTTCTTATTAACTTACTCCCAGTCCCTCACATTAAGAATTATTTCCAGGTAACAAATTCTCCCAAGAAATACATAGTTCCTTGCAAGTATTTCACTCAATGTATTATCAGAATTAAAGAACATGCTTCAAATAAAGAATGATTTCATTGTTAAGCTAAAAGAAGAAAACAATGAATTAGGTTCTATGGGAAAATGTGGGCTCAAATGTTATGTTCACTAACGAATAATAAATACGTTAAGGAATCAGAGTCACAACTCTTCAAGTACAGACTTCCTCACATATGACCAGTATGATTTCCTAAGGATGTCATGTGTGTGAATTCAAACATCACAACTCTTCAAGTACAGATTTCATCATACATGAACATTATGATTTCCTAAGGATGTCATGTGTGTGAATTCAAACATTATTTGCCTTCAAAGATGAATTGATACAGGTAATAGCCCACATTTAAGGAAAGCAAAGATACCTATTTAACAGAGGTTAGTATTGTATTTTAAAAATTTAACTCAAATACATACTCTATTTGTCAACTTCATTCTGAGAAGCTCACTGAATTCAGTTATATTCTGGAATTTTCTTGAAGTATCATGCAGCAGTGAACCTGGGAACCCACAGAGCAGGAACAAAGTGGAAGGAGTTCAGGAGGTTCTCCCTGCCACCGTTTAGCTATGCGTGGGTGCTCGGTCACTTCAGTCGTGCCCAACTCTTAGCAACCCCACAGACTGCAGCCCACCAGGCTCCTCTGTCCATGGGATTCTCCAAGCAAGAATACTGGAGTGGGTTGCCATGCCTCCTCCAGGGGATCTTCCCAACCCAGGGATCTAAGAGGTGTCTCTTACGTCTCCTGCATTGGCAGGAGGGTTCTTTACCACTAGTGCCACCTGGGAAGCCCTGCTTAACTATAGTGAAGATTAACTACCACTCAGATTCTGCTGCTTTACTGATTTTTTTTGTTTAACCTTCTGTACTATCACCTAGCCCACGGAATACTTTCACTAGGTTCTTTCAAAGTTTTCAAATCATTTTGGTTTTCTACTCATTTCTCTGATTATGAACGGCAATGAAAGTTCTGTAAGCAACTACAGATCTAACAACAACAGAAATCTACAAAGAACTAACACATTGCTTTTCCCTGAGTAGATGCAATATAAGTATTTATTAAAATTTTTTCTCAAAAAAATTTTTTTTCTTTTTCCCAAATAAGCCATGCAGTATTACCACAATCCATAATTCAACACAACATAACTAAATTTAACTCCACAGAAATTAGCATGGTACTCTAGGAATAGTACTTCTTAGGAAGACAAAATCTCATTTGTCTGTTTCCACATTACCAATCAATAAACTATTTTCAAAGAGTCAAACAAGCACTGTAACAAACAAGCATCTAACAATATGCAAAAGAAGGAACAAGGGAAGAACCAAGGGAAGACATTTCAAGATTATAAAGTTTATTTCTATCCCTGATTCATTCTTTCCTCGAGCATGAGCAGTGATCCATCTCAAAAGAAAACTCTAAAATGCTAAACTAGACACAATTTCAAAAGTTCTTGTAATGAACCACATACCAGTCAAAACAAACACTGAGTTTCTACATTCAACCTATTTCTGTAAAATTGTCTTTAAGAATGGAGAGTAGTAGTTTCATTCTGAACATTTCCAAATAACTCCTCCATAAATTTTTCCAACTCAAAATTCAACTAAGTATTTGTTTTCAAATTGTGAACACGTAAGGGCAGAATGTATGAAAAATGATGGAAAAATACTATATGATTTTCCTTAAATGTGTAACATAAACATGTTAAGTCATTTAGATATGAACACATATCCAAAGCATACCATTTGCTTTTCATAAACAATATAAATTCTCTCATTAAGTGAATTCTCTTTGGATGTATCAGTGAAATCTAAGACTGTTTTAAGATACTCATTTTTAGATTTTAACTACAATAGCTTCCTTAACTGACTTCCACTTAACTAATCTGCCTTGTTGTTACTGTTTTGGTTAAGTCTGTGTCTGACTCTTTTGCAACCCTGTGGACTGTAGCCCACCAGGCTCCTCTATCCAAGGGATTTCCCAGGCAAGAATCCTGAAGTGGGTTGCCTTTTCCTTCTCCAGGGGATCTTCCCGACCCAGCGATCAAACTCCCATCTCCAGCACTGCAGGTAGATTCTTTACTCTGAGCTATTAGGGAAACTTTCCCAACCTGCCTTAGATAACACGTTTTTAACCTTTATTAAACATGCCATGAATGGTAACCACTCTCAACTAGTATGGTATTTTTAGTACATTCAGGTACTTCTGACCTACTAGTTGAGTTACATGTCTAACAATTCAGTTGGTTGTTCCTAAACCTGTTTATATCAGTTTACTTGCTGTAGTCCTTACATAACTTAAACATTATGTAAGTCTATGGAACACAAAAGCAGAGTTATTTCTATGTAAATGAAGTTGAATGCAAGCTGAGTAGAATGACTCAATAAAGGTGAGTCATTCTTTTAAAAGGTATTAAATTAGATAAAGGTGAGACATCTGTAAAATATTAGGGAAAAACATTAAAAGTCAAAAAGAGGAACCTATGTTTAGGGTTTTTCAAAAGTATCTTTAAGGTTTTATTCCACTTTAGAGAATCAAAACTAGAAATTGCAAATCATGCATTATGGATGTACTACTTTACACAAAAACTTCTCTCAACCATGATCTTCAAAGAGATACTGTTAGCACTACATCAGAAAGTTGATTAAGCAAATTTAGATTTATAGTCTATTACATTTTAAGTCAAAATTTCAAAATGTTACAATATGTATCTTTTTACTTTCCTCCTTTAACTTTTTCAATAACTAAGTAACTGTCCCAACCTATCAGATATGAAGCCATCAAACATGTTTTTCTGAAGCCCTTATTTAAGGGCTTGTTGTAACCAACTAGATAAATCCTACATGTCTAAATAAAATAACTGGAGGAGGAAATAGCAACCCACAGAACCCCATGGACAGAGGAAACTGGCAGGATACTGTCCATAGGGTTACAAAGAGTGGGACATAACTGAGCATGCATGCACACACATAAAATAGTAGTATGTAGTGATATACTCTAAAACAATTCTATGGAAAAAAGTATTAAGTCTATGCTTCACAAGGGCAAGCATCTTAACCTATTCTTTCACAGACATAAGCCCAAGAATATAGCTCCTAGTGCAAGCTGATGCTCCATCAACAGTTGCTGAATGAAGGAAACAGGAACTCACCGTGATGACAGCCTTGCTAAGACAGATGGAGCCTCGGCAGCCATACTCTGTCTCATCTTCAGACTTGTAGTAACTCAGAGTATTATTTTTCAAAACTACCCAACGATCCTGCCACCCATGAATATAGTTTGTCCACTGGAGGAAAAAAAGAAACAAAAAATTAAGTCAGTATTTTAGAAATCCAAACAATCTTAAACAACGGTCAATCTAAGTTTAAGGCCAAAATGTGAAAAGTTCTAACTTAACTATAAGCAGTTTAAAAAAAAAAAAAAAGCTAAGATTTTCCAGATTATATATGATTTTCCATAATTTCTTCAAAATTATAGATAAAATAGACAATAAATAAAACATAACACTTGAAGAATAAAAACTGAAGCACATTTCAGAATTAAAAATTCTGCTCTTTTTTTGGTGTGCTTTCATCCTCCCCTACTCACCACCTTTCAAGACTTAAATTGTTTCTGGCCCTGTCATATTTGACATATTCAATAGCAAAGTACTTTAGTTTGGCTACACAGTCTGTCACTCTCCTTCTGCATGAAGCATTCTAAAACAGAAGCCAATCATGGCCAAAACTCTATTTTTGTTGTTTAAGTTATTCCTATATGAAAATATATGATGACTACATTAAAGTAAAAATACAGATCATCTCTTTAGTAAGTCTATATCAACTTTACTTTTACCTCCATAGCACTCTTTGAGGATCTATTTTTCAAACTCAAGGATAAAATACAAACATAAAATTGGTTTCCAAAAACATACTTGGATTATCTGTTTTCCAGTACCTACAAATGGTTTGTGCTGGTAAAGTTTTGCTGCTGCACAGTGAAGATCAAAATCAATAAACCTGAAGAGGCAGAAATGTAACCTCTATGGGAATTGTTGATATTGTATATTTTTACGCCCTGGGGTTTTAAGTAGACAATTCAAAAACTATCTGCCAAAAACTAACTCTAAATGGATCGTTAAAAATATACTGCATTGGCTCAGAGAAATCTTTTGTTTACTATTTCCTAATTCAACAGGTTTGAGATTGTTTGGCTCTTAACATCTTCTAAACGTCACCACTACAAGCCCTCCCTGAGAACTTATCCATGCAGGATAAGCTCCCTGAGATTTACCGTCACTTAAGACAGCGACTTAAAATAATGACCAATAGACACAAACATAAATTTACCTCTACCATAGAGTGCACTACCCCACTATGTTCCTATTTCTTTGGCTACACTGCTACTTCCAGTCATTCAGACTCAAACCCAGCTCAGGATTCCGGTACTGCATGGACAGAGCAGTGGATACAACATCAGAGAGGCTCAAGTCCTCTCCTAGCTGTGTGAAAAGTTCTGACAAACTATTTAACTTCATCTTTCCTTCCTATTAAATCCTTAAATCTGACTCTTAACCTTTTTTCAAGTAATCCAATCAAATTATCATGGGCTTCCCTGGTGGCTCAGAAGGTAAAGTGTCTGGGTTCAATCCCTAGGTCAGGAAGATCGCCTGGAGAAGGGAATGGCTATCCACTCAGTATTCTTGCCTGGAGAGCTCCATGGTCGGAGGAGCCTGGCGGGCTATAGGCCATGGGGTCGCAAAGAGCGGACACAACTGACCAAATAATACTTTCTGGGTTCCTGAGAAAGCTTAATAACCTTACTTCTGATATCTTCTGCTTTTAATTTCATAACTTACATAGTCTTATTAGGCATATTTTGCTTACTTATCTTACATATTAACCTCATTTAGTGTCCAGTTACAAAACTTGCATGAACAACTGATTGCCTATAAGAGAAACTGTTGAGACTGGTATACCTTAATCCTGCCTTTTGTCCAATTACTGCCTCTCAGAAAACTAGTAACCGTGTGACTGTGGTCACGTTACTTATCTTCTGTTTGTTTGTCACATTTTACCTCTTACAGTTTTTTAAGATTAAGCAAGAACAGACTGCGAACACTGCCAAGCACACAGTATTTTCTCAGTTGGAAGCAGAATTATGCATAGCTAATGAAGCTCTATACAAGGGATTTCCCAAGCAAGAATACTGAACTGGGTTGCCATCTCCTTCTCCAGGGGATCTTCCTGACCCAGGAATTGAACCCAGGTCTCCTGCATTGCAGGCAGATTCTCTACTGGCTGAGCCATCAGGGAACCTCACAAGAACAGATCCCTTTCAAAGTACAGACAAGACACTAACAATTTTGTGCCCATATTTTTATATTATTTTCTTATAGAAGACCCAATAATTAACATAAACTTCAGGCCCTTTACCCGGAAAGCGTTAACTCCTATTCACAACCAGAAGGCAGACTTTTGCCTTTTCTCCTACCCTCATAACGTTTCCTCACTCTTCCCCATTCAACAGAGACAAAGCGATACATAGGCACTGCAGGAGAATTAAATAATCCTGCTTCCAACAGTTCAGCAAGCATAAATTCAGGAGGAAAAAAAAACACATTTATAATAAGGATCAGAAGCAAGTCACAAGTAAAATGCTATAGGAATGAATACAGCACTATATTCATAGGAGATAATACCCTTGAGGAAAGGAGTGCTGGGATGGTTGGCAAAATAAAAGTCTTCATAGAAAAAACAGTTGAGATGGGCTCCAGAGATGGACAGAATTTCAGCCAATAGTTCGGCATGTGAAGAAAACATTAGTAAAGATAAGGTAATAAAGTTGGAGAGAATTCAGAAGAAATTGAGTGAGATTTACCCAGGCTTAGTTGCTTTTCAAGTCCATCTAAGGCCTGAATCTTTTCCCATCCATAACCCATCTTGACATTTGTTATAACCACCTAGAATTATTGTCAACCCAGTATTTTTGGAACTACGTGTCTAAGAAACAAGCCTGTAGAAAATATGTTCATATTAAAAAAAACTCTGGGCTGCTGTATTTCTAATACAAGTTTACTCTACCACCACCATTCCAAATTCACTCCATTTGTGGGGGAACAGAACAAGTTAGCATTAGGATTTAACTACATTACTAAACAGAAGGAAAACAACAGACACTGAGTTCTAACCCTTGTTTAATTACCAAATGAATACAAAGATTCAAAATATATATGTACTTGAAACTTAAAAACATACATTCAATATAAAATATTCTTGATGAAAAAGCTCCCAAGAAAACATATGTATCCATAAATGGCTAAATTTCAGGGAAATTTCCTTCTTAGCTGTTACCAAGAATACCAAAACCTACATCCCTGTTGATTCCTGGTACACAGCAACATGTAAGTTACTTGCCTGCTAAAGTGAAGTGAAGTGAAGTCGCTCAGTCGTCTCTGACTTTTTGCGACCCCATGGACTGTAACCTACCAGGATCCTCAGTCCATGGGATTTTCCAGGCAAGAATGCTGGAATGGGTTGCCATTTCCTTCTTCATGCCTACTAAAGAAGTGGTCAAATACTACCTCTCTATGCACTTAAATATCACGGAGATAAGTCTTCCTTTTTTTTTTTTGGTTGTAAAGTATATACTCACTACACCACTCTGCATGAGTGACACTCAAGACACTCATACACAGTGCGCATGCTCAGAGCACTGGCGACTCCACCCCTCACTACAATCCTCCTACCCCACAAAAAGGGATAATCAATAGTTCAAAAGTACAGCGTGTTTTTGTAAAATACTTAACACACCACAATACTAATTTGATGAAATAATCAGAACCAATGAGAAGCCAAAAAGATTCATAACAGTTGCAAAGGAATATGTACACCCACTACAATCTACATACCTAAATTACAAGATACATTTAATCTAAAGAAACCCTGTGAAGTTTCACCTTACTGAAAACTTTTCACTGAAATTCCAATAATGATCACAGTGTTAACACACACTGTAATTTTTCCATACAGAAATAAAAGTTAACACGTGCAAGCCTTAGTTTTGACATACTCATGCCTCTCGTAGGTCCTTTCTCAGCCTTCTAAAGACAATATAAAAGCCTAATATGAAACAATTACACAAAGGACATCCAAAAGTTAAGCCAAAGTAGGTATACTGGAAGCATAGTGATTTCTTAATAGGCAGTGGTTGCACATGATCTAGTATCTTATGACCAGCCTGTTGAAAGACTGGACCCTGCTCCCCTTCTCCAAGTTAACTGCCAGCTCCAGCCATTTCTAAAAGTTTAACAGGCAGAGAAAACGAAGTAAAAAAGGCAATGTGGATCTTATCACAGCAAAAACCTAAAAGAAAAAGAAAGAAAAGAAGGAAAGAAAACAAAACCTTAACAGCAAACCCCAAACCACGTACTACCAACGGTAAAGATTACCCACCTTCCCTCTTAAAAGGGGCCTCATCCATTTTGGTTAAGTAATTTTCAAATTCTACACGTGACTATTTGCTTCGTAAAAATTTTGGAAAGATGTTTTTAAAAAAATACAGGAAAAGTAAAATGTCTTTTCCTAACTCTGCCCCCTGTCTGCAAGAACACTTTACTAAATAACACTCTTCTTGGACTAAATAAATGTCGTTTTCCACTCTGACAGGTTTCAAGTTACTATGAATATTTCTTGTACCTATCACCTGCCGATTCAATAGCTCTTCTCTGAATTGGGGGAAAGGGAAAAGGAAAGTACAAAAAGTCCTCCTCATTTAGACCTCTCACTACATCTAGCCTGGCATAGTTTCCCACCTCAGATTTCAGCACCAAGCAGAGTTGCTCCGGCTTCTTTCTCAAAAGCTGCGTCTACAAAAATCCCCCACCCCTGCTCTGCTCGGCATCTCTGGGCGAACCTCTTTGGAGAAGTCTGATCTGCAGCTTTACCGTACTCGTTCCTTCGGATACTGCTGTTGCTCATCCCTAATTCCTATACCCAGGACGGCTGCCCCCCGGGGTCCCGAGTCGCGGTGGGCATCCCGTTCCCAAACTGGATGGATCCCCGGGTTAGGACGCGCATACCCCGGTCCTAGGCCGCCGAGCCCCAGGGCAGGCGAAAACCGTCCCCCTCTGCCCCCACCCCCACCGCGGCCCCGGCCCGGGCACTTCTGCGGCAGGACTCGGCCCCACACCCTGGGCCCATTCCGCAGCCCCCGCCCCGAGACAGTCCGTGTTCTCGCTGCCAGCCCCACCCCGTGCCCTCAGCCGCTCGTCTCGCGGCAGGTGAGTCCGGGCCGGGGGACGGTCAGCCTCGCGTGCTGCTCACCTTGCTAAGGACCCCGCAGCGCTCCACCGGCGGCCCGGACTCCGTCTCCGGATCCTCCTCCGAGCCCGACGAGTTCCAGCTCTGGTTATCCGACATGGAGGCGCGACAGCCGAGCAGGAGACCTGCCCCCGCTCCCTGAGCTGCGCCGGTGGGGGCGCCCAGTCCCCGGGGTGAAGGGTCGGGGGATGGCGAAGGAAGGAGTGCCCGCTCCGGTGCAGGAGGGAGCGGGAGGAGGGCTGGAGTCCGCCCGCCGCGCCGCCGCCGCCGCCGCCGCGCCTGACACCGAGCGGGCCGGGGAAGGAGGTCGAGGGGCGAAGGAAGCCTGCCCTTCCAGCCGTCAGCCGTCGCCGTCGCCGTGACCCCTGCGCTGCGCCCGGCGCCGCCGCCCGAATTCGGCCCCCTCGGTGCCAACCTCGCGGGAGAGGAAAAGAGGAGGAAGACGGGAAGAGGGAAAACCCAGCTGCAGAGACCCAGGTCCACTCACACCTCCGCTAGGCCGCCATCTTCCTGCCTAGCCCACTATTTACCCTCCCCTCCCCTCTTCCCTCCCTTTCGTCCTCCCATTCTCCCCCTGCTCCCCGCCCCGTCCCCCTCCCAACGTCTGACGCGTCACGCCGAGGCTCGGAGTTCCCTCCCGCAACCTACCTCCGGCCCTCCCGGGTGACGCCGGGTAGGAAAGTAGGAGGAGCGGAGAAAGGAGAAAGCGGGAGGGGGGATACCGCTGTGCTGCATTCTGGGAAGGACGCTTCTCCGTGCGCCGCGCAGCCTCCTGGGAGTTGTAGTCGTGGTCCCGAGGCAACTGGTGAGTGATGCGCAACGGGAAGGCTGGTCGCCTTGGGGACCGTCAAAGGGAGGGTGGGCTTCGTTTGATAGTTGCGTGACCCGTTCCCTGTGCCACGCTTCTATCTGTGCCTGGCGTGTTAATGACGAACCCGCCGGACCGGTGGACCGGGACGTCAGATAGCTGCGGGGAATGCCCAGGCCTGCCCTCCGTGGCCGTTTCCCAAAAGCCGGATAGCATCTTGCCGCTTGCCTGGGCGGAAGTATACCCTGCTTTTCTGCCTTAACCACGGGCTGGGGGGTTGCGACCTCTCTAATCACAAGGGCATTTCTTTCCACCACCTCTGCAAATTTCGATGATCTTCCGTCTCGCTCTTTAGAAGTTAGACTTCACATGAGGTTTCCCAGTTTAGAAGGGAGAATTTTTAGTCCCTTCTCACCAGAGCAAGAACTTTTCTTTGTTAGATTTACAGAGTTTTTTAATTGTGGAAAGTAATTTTGGAGATGTCGGAGAATAAATGACATTGAAGAGTTTTTAAAGGAAAATAAGAATGTGAGGTGAGAGAGATGAGATGAGACTTCCCTAATTGTCCAGTGGTTGGGACTTCGCCTTCCAATGCTGGGCTGCAGTTTCGATTCTTGGTCGGGGAGCTAGGATTCCACATGCTTCGTGGCCACTTCCTTGCATAACAGAGATCAAAGTGCAGTAATCTTATTGAGTAATAACGGGTTAGGCAGTAGTAGGAGGCTGGCTTTGCCTGAAGACTAGAATTGAATTGGTGGAAAGACCGAGAGAAGCTCTAACAGATTTCGTTTTGCTTTTTAGCATATGTTATTAAGATAATTTTTATGGGGAGATCGTTAACTTTGTAGCATCAATTCTTCCATCTTTGCTTCTTTTCCATCTTGTCAACTTCCTAGTAATTGCCAACAGTACAATTCCTTATTAGACCTTAGAAAGAATACCTGCTCATTTCAGGTGACAGGAGGATAGAAGTCAAATTTTGAATCTGGGAAAAGGCACAGTGGCCAGAAGGCTCTCTAGTCGCCATAGAGGTCAACTTAACTGGAATCTTCAGGAAAAAACGGAATGATGGAAAGGTTGTTTTCCTAGATTGATGCGAAATGCTGAATCTGTTGTAAATCAGTTACAAATTATTTTTCTGTTGTGAAATCAAGTGAAAATGCATAATTGAAAGCCATTCAGATGAATAAAACCTTGAGATAAGCTTTAGAAAATACTTTTTCAACATGTTAATTAAGAGGTAATCCCAATTTTGTCATTCAAAGCCGAAAAATAGAAAAAATTCACTTAGCACATTTTTCGTCTTTACTGAATTACTAAATTATATCGCCGGTAGCTCAGCTGGTAAAGAATCCACCTGCAATGCAGGAGACCCCAGTTTGATTCCTGGGTAGGGAAAATCCCCTGCAGAAAGGATAGGCTACCCACTCCAGGGTTCTTGGGCTTCCCTGGCGGCTCAGCTGTTGAGGAATCTGCCTGCAGTGTGGGAGACCTGGCTTCTATCCCTGGGTTGGGAAGATCCCCTGGAGAAGGGAAAGGCTACCCACCCACTCCAGTATTCTGGCCTGGAGAATTCCTGGGTTACAGAGAGTTGTACACCACTGAGCGACTTTCACTTCACCTTTAGTGTCAAATGTTGTAGCAAATTTTGCTTTGCTTTTCAATTACCTAATATAGTTGACTTCCTATCTCTGATTGTTTTAACTCTAGGTTTTAAAATGTCATAAGCCTCAAGGAAATGATTATGAAATGTGGAAAAATCCACTTCATAATGCAATTTATCAATAGAATCATGAGAGCACCGTATATATTTATTTCTAAATTGAACTTTCTGTTGTATTTTATGAATTTCTAAGTTGTGTGGTTGTAAGCACCAACGCTTACGTCACTAAGTTGCACACTTAATCAGTAGGGAATTGTTTAATTGTATTTAGAATTAATGAGAGAAATTGCCTTTTTAAAAAACTTTGTTGTGTGTGTCTCTGTACTTACAAGACTATTTTTTAAATGCTTTTAAGTACAGAAGGGTTTTTGTACGCTGATCAGAATACCACTTTAGAGGTTGGGATTCTCTTCTGTTAATGGTAAGAAACTGCAATACAAGAATAAAATACACAAGCTTTCTCTATTCTGTTGTGAGAATAATAGCTTTTGAGTTTTCTCTCTTAGAACTGTCCTCAACCTTATCAATATTCTATATTGTCTCTTAGAGTAGGTTTTGTTGTTTTTTTTTTTTTACTTTTAAACTTGAATTCACCTGTTGGTCCACTGTTTTATTTAATAGTTTTTCTCACCCTTATATTTACATGATATGCACAATCTCCATATATTGTATCTAGGTCTGTTTCTGGATTTCATTCATTCTTATTGATCTAGTTGTCTATAGCTTTGCTAATACCACACTGTTTTAATTATTTAACTTTATCCTATTTTCATATATATAATAACAGAACGCCTAATGTTCTTTCTCATTTGGATGTTTTTGTATATCTTCTCTTCCAGGTGAATTTTAGAACATTTTGTCAAATTACGTGAAACACTCTATTGGAATTTGGATTAAGAATGCACTAAATTTGTGAAGCAAATGACATCTTTACAATATTAGTTCTTAGCCTTGGTCAGATACTTTATATACCTGATCTAACTTACTCCTTAACCACATAATGGGAGTATTGTTGGCTTCATCTTAAGAATAATGAAACTGAAGCTCAGTGCTGCCAAGTAACTTAACAGTGCCAAATAGCTACTAAGTATTGGAGTTAGGATTTGAAAACAGATCTGATTTTAAAGGTCATACCATTTTCTTTGATTCAGGAGACCCCTAAAACTGGGAAGGATTTTGTAAATAATATATTCTGTAAATGAGTATATCAGAGCAACTGTGCTCTTAATTCAGTTAGTGGTTTTGAATATCTTTTCACTTAGACAGCCCTTACATCTATGCTGTCTTAACCCTAATGTAGAATTTATTAATGCTATTATGTTTCCATTATTGTTTCTAATATAGAAACACTATATTATTTCTCTTTCTAATATAGAAATAATATATTATTTCTCTTTCTAATATAATTATTTCTATTTCTAATGTAGAAATAATTATTATTTCTATTTCTAATATAATTATTTTCTATTTCTAGTATGCCTTCACATGAAGACAGTGAACCCAGAGATGGTAAATAACTGTCCAAAGGTCATACAGCATTAAAGAGAATAGTTGTTGTTCAAACCAGCATCTCTGGCTTCTCCTACATTGGCAGGTGATTCTTTAGCACTAACCCACCTGAGAAGCCCTCTCATCCCACTAGAATTCTTCAATTCCTCTTCTTTCTCCCCATCTTCACCTCGCTTCATTCTCGCACCTTTTTCTCTAAACAAAATCCCAATCCCAAAGCCTTCATCCCTGCCTCCCTCTCCCATTGCAATGACACAGAAACCAAAAACCCAGCAATTTTGGAACTGAGAATTTTGCAGTTTCACTAATCACCAGGTAGGGGTCTGGAAGGGAATGTTTCTTCTTGATGCTGGAATTATAGTAGGAGAGAATGTCCCAAGTTGAAACTGAGGTCATTGTCTACTATTTAAACATGGTGTTATAAAGAGCCTTCATGAGTCCACGTAGCTTGCCGTAACAAAACACAACATGCTAGCTGGCTCTGGTCTTATTATCTCTTCTAATTAAGAATACCAGTCGTATTGGATTAGGGCCTCATCCTTATGGCCACCTGTAACCTTAATTATAGGGCTTCCCTCATGGCTTAGCACTAAAGAGTCTGCCTGCCAATGCAGGAGACTCAGGTTCCATCCCTGATCCAGGAGGATCCCCTGGAGGAGGAAATGGCAACCCACTCCAGTATTCTTGCCTGGAAGATCCCATGGACAGAGGATCCTGGTGGGCTACAGTCCATGGGGTTGCAGAAGAGTCAGGCATAACTTAGTGACTAAACAACAACAAACCTAATTGTTTATGTGACTAAATAACAACAAACAAAATTATCTTCTAATAGGCCCTGACTCCAAATTCAGTCACATTGAGAGTTAGGTCCTCAGAATATGAATTTGAGGGGAACACAGTTTAGTCCATGACAGGGCTTACAGGTTCTGTATTCCTACAGTGTTTATTATGGTAAAGATACATTTTGAGTTAAATAGTCCTTTTAACCTGGGAATTTAACTGTTCATTGTAATCTTTATAATACTGTTCCCAAGTGAAACATAATCAGTTAAAAACTGGGGATTTACATACAAAACCTGATTTTTAAAGCTTAAGAGTTACTAGTCCATGAAGTAGAGG